ACCAAGATAGAGTAATACCCTAAACAAACTGCCCTTTCTTCCCAATTACCCACACACTGGAAAGCAATCAGTCCTTAGATTTCACTTGAAATGACTTTTCTGTAGCGTTTTGACACTGTTAAGAATCTCTCTGACCTGGAAAAATTCACTTCTCTTTCCAAAGACACCACCAGTCACCACACTTTCCCTCCCTCTCCACTAGCCACCTTTTCTGGTCTCCTTTGCTGTTTTCTCCTCTTCTCCTCCATCACTGCTCCTGGATAAGACGAAGATCTCAGGACTGCGACCTCTTTTCTCCTGCTCAGCTCCCTCCTGCTGTGTTCTTGGCCTGATAGGCTCATTGCTTTCATTACGTTCCATTCATAAGCTTACTACTTCAGAAAATATATCTCTAGCTTACCCTTTTTTTCCTGGCACTCAGTATTTGTAAATTCATCTGCCAACGTGACATCAACATTTGGATACTTAACATTCATCACAACATTGATGTGACCGAAACCCAACTTCCCTTTTTCTGCCTCACCTGCAGCTTTACCTGTCAATGTACACAGCAACTTCATTATGTTAATTCTAGCGTTCTAAATCTTAGAATCATTCATGACTTTTCTCTTTCTCTGACACCTCCTATTTAATCCAGGATATCTGCCTTCAAAATATACCAAGATTCTGTCCATTTCTCAGCACCCCCCGTATCCAAGAGACAGTCATCTCTGACTGAATTATTACAAAGGCTCCTAACTGACTTTCCCACATCAAGCTCTGACTGTCTGTAATTTATTCTCAATGAAGCACACGCAGTGATGCTTACAAAACATTAGTCCTGTCACGCTATTCCTCCATTGACAGCTTTAAAATGTCCTATTTCATTCGGAGGTAAAGCATCCGGCCCACAGTGGTCTTCCTGTTGGATCCTGCACTATGGGGGCTTTCTCGGCCTCTTCAGCTCTCCCCTCACTCACTCCACCACAGCCTCACAGACGTCCTCGAAGCTCCTGAAGTGTACCTCCCATACTTCCATTTCAGGCCTTGTCACTCACTTCTGCTGCCTGGAATACTTTTCCTCCACATCAGGTATTTGCTGAAGTTACCCCTTACCGAGCGAAGTTTTCCTTGCCCATCAAATTCAAAATCAGATGCTCTAACCCCAGAAATCCTGGCCACCCTTAATGTATTCTCTTTCCCCCTATATTCTGTATCATCTCTTAACATTCTATGTATTTTGCATAATTTAAGTAAATATTTGCAACATGAAGCTGGAGATTTGTAAG